AATTTTTTTAATACAAAAGACAAAATAATTAAAAAAAACACAAATAAACATCGATTTTTGTGTGTCATGTGGTATGTTGAATGCAGTACTGGTTCAAATTAGATGTTTGTGAAGTCAAAATACCAAGTCTATAGTTTCGTACCAATTAGAAACTCAAATTACTGATATTTACAAGCAAGAATGTAAAATAAGAAGTCTTATCTTTTCTATTTGCTAAGATATTGCACATGTAATAAATCAAACACAGTGGCATCCCACCTACCTCTTTCCATTTTTGTAAACATTCCCTTATATACACTTACTTCTATATATGACATGACAAACCAATCGGAAGCTCAGAAAGTCTCCCTAGTGGCTTTCTCAGCCATTTTAACAGGCTTAGATGCCATTTCTTTCTTTTGAACCAATATTTCGAAAAGGTAATGTGTGTCTTCAGTCTGCTCGAAATTTCATATTTTTTTAGACTAAAACACATCTTAGTTACTAAGCTTGATAACATATAGTGGAATTCTATGGTATTGATGTAGTAATTTATAATTTTTTAGTTATTCAAAAGTATATTTAAAATTGAAAAAAAATTATTTTGTTTCGTATCCTCCACGTGCAAAATTTTTAAAGGCTTAGGAACCTATGTCAAACAGCAACAAGTACAAAGGTCGTAACTAGAAGAGATAATTGTTTGCTTTACTTTATTTACTGATCTATGTTTAAGAAAAATAAGTTTAAGAACTTAAGTTTGAAAATAGCAATAATCTATATACATATATAATGTATAATAATTGAAATGTGACTGAATTTTACAAAATACTAGTCTGCTAAACCACAGCCAAGACAAGTTACTTTGTACAGATCAAAGGTTAGTTTCATGTTATTGGATACAATAACATTAGTGCATGCGAGCAGTGTCATTGTAACTTCTGTATTGCTAGCCAGGCACAGCTGAAAGGTCAATATAATAAAAATAATAAATATAGATAAATGTATAATGTTATAAGATTTAAGCTATTTAGTCTAAACATTTATGTTTTCATGTTATAATATGTGTTCATTCTAAAATGAAAGAGGCATAATATATATTTATTTCCAAATTATTTATATTGGTTGCAAGATTGGTCAAATCTACCAAACCCGTAGAGAGATTAATTACTGAAAATAACAGATAGAATATAAACTTTTTTCTTAAGAAATGTTTGATAACTATCTCAACCTTATAAAGATTACACATGTGAAATTTCAAAATTTTCTGATGCATAAAAGTGTTTTTAATCTTAAAATGAATATCACTTTGCATGATAGATTGGCAGCATGCAAAAAAAAAAAAAAAAAGACATGAGAAAAACATTGCTTTTCAAACCTTAAGAGTTAATAAAAAAAATTGATATTTTGCATATGAAAGCATTGTAATGTTTACTGATAATCTGACAAATGTCATTAACATTTGCTAACTAATTTAAAAGTTATAGCATAAAAGCTATAACAAGCACAAAATGGTTATGAGGAAGGGAAATTGGGTAATTCAGAGGATATCTGGTGAGGTTCTATTGATCCTGAAGTACCCACTGAAGAAAATTCATGTTAGGATGGACTAGAGGAACAAAGGCTTTCAAAAAATCTCAAGTCTCTAAAAGAGAAAGAACCACTCTTGTAGGAAAAAATTTGTGAGAAATGTGCATACTGAACAAAAAACTCAACAGAATGTAGGCAAAGAGGAGAATGATGCGTGAGCCTAAAATGAGAATAGAAGAACACCCCAAGACAAACGTGTTACTGGGTGGGGTGATAGCAGACTCCTCTACCTTGATCAGCCAACACACTCGAGCAGCCCCTCGAAGGAGAAAATGCATGTGAATGAAAGTCACAGCAAACAATGGTGCTAGAAGAAGCCAATCGTCCATGTAGAGGTAGAAACGTAGTCCTTGTGTATGAAGACGGGCAAAAGACCTGATCACCCAGCAAAAAAACAAAACATAAGTCCAAAAAGAAGAGCGTGTAACTGTTAAACACATTTCCCATGGATGACAGGATGTCAGCAAAAAAGGGATGTTGAAGTATGCATTGGACATGTCACAATTTATCTTCCAAGGGCCAGGAGCAAATGCCCATCTAAGGGAAAGCTAAGACTTAACAGTGAACTGGGGAATCTCCATAAAATGGTTCAGACTGGAGAAATTAGAATGGATTACTAATCTCGAGTCTTTTAGGGGACTACAAAAGACAGGATTAGAAACTTGGTATAATAGGAACTACCAGTTCTTTAGTGCCTGTGAAGTGAGGATCATGAACCACCTCAGAAAGATGCTGGCTAGAACTGGAACCTGAGGAGGAGGGAAGGAGACCAGAAGGGAGATAAAGGAGGAGGAGGAGAGGAAAGGAATAGAGTCCTCAGGACCAGAACCAAAAAAAAAATCCTAGGGTTGGTGGCAAATTTTTCCAAAATACTGGACTGGCAAAGTGCTCATTTACCCTGATTTCAGGGTAAGGGAAAAATAAAAAATAATCAGCATTTAGTGCTTCAGTGAAAAAGTTAGGGGAGAGGTCATAAGTCAAAACCAGAACCTACCTGTGACACCAAGTCCAAAATGGAGAAGAAGGTATCAGTGCTACCATGGTTCGAGAACGAGACTGCACAGCAAAGGAATGGAGATGAAAAAAGGCTGTCCAAATCCTCATCTGTGTTTAAATTTCCCAAAGAAGGGGATAAAGGGTTATCAAACAGGAAACCACCTCAGTCTGCGAGAAAGAAGCCATCTCTGCACAGAATAGGGCTAAAACTTCTACAGCCAAACATATTAAACCTGAAGCCAATGTAATGGGTGGTTGGTCACTGGTAGTGTCAGAGAGCAGTAATAGCTGTGACTCAAAAGTGAGAGTACATGATACTGTGGTTGATTACAGGTACATGAGTGGAAATAGCATACAACAGAAAGTAATAAATTGAAAAAAAAATTTAAATAATTGCAAAACGTGAAAATTGTTGAAATTGCAATTAGAAATTGAAGTTCCAAAATAAAGAGCAATAAAAAAACAAAAAAGGTAAGCTAAATGTCTGAACACTGTTGTGCCAAATTGAGAAGTGTAGATTGGATTCAACTGCATAGAGGGAGTCAGCTATGATAGGAAGGTGTGTCACACTCCTATTGGTGGAGGATTGTAACATGCTCATTTGCATGCTATAACACAGCTGAACCATGTGGTATACATGTGGAGTTAGGTGGGAGTTTCAAGGCTAATGGTGAGAGAAAAATTGTGCAATAGAGGACAGTAAAATCGAGAATAGCTGTAACTGGAGGTAAGTGATTGTATCAGAAATCCTATTTGCTTTACCACTGTCATCAACACACTGTCTGGAAGGTTTAAGAGACTGATCTACCAAACACCAATATCTTTTTTCTTTTCCATTACACAGCTGAGTTGATTTCTATTAAGATGGTAATGATAGTTTAAATTGAGGTAGCCACATGCATTACCATGCACTTACCACAATTAAATGCTATTTGCCATTTAGTTGCTAAATGAATCAAATCCCTCTGTAAAACAACATCCTTCTCATTGCCAATTGCACCCAAAACTTTTATATCAACTTGTTGACCATTCCCATATTAATACTGTCATTGTATATAAAAAAGAGTGAGGGTCCCAGCACAAATCCCCGAGGTACCCCAATTGCAATTCCAATTCAGTTTGACTAAACTCCATTTATTACAATTCTTTGCTTCATCTCCTATAATTAACCCTTAATACATTGAGTTAACTTATGTCTCACACCCACAGAAATAAATGTTGGTGTTACTATAGTGTGCAGAGTACAAAGGTATTTACACTATAGCATGCAGTCTACACAGATACTATCATCATCACTGTTTTAACTTTCATTTATTTGCAACTGGTGCCAGTTATTATAACTAACACTTTTAAATTAATAAAGTACAAAATAACATTACGTAACATTTTTGGGGGAAATGAAATAAGTTCCAACAATCAAAACTAGCACAATTATCATATAAATTTAAGGTACTCTTTTGGAACATACAATTACTATAGTGTGCAGAGTACAGTCTACACAGATACTATCATCATCACTGTTTAAACTTTAATATATTTGCAACTGGTGCTAGTTATTATAACTAACACTTTTAAATTAATAAAGTACAAAATAACATTACACAACATTTTTGGGGTAAATGAAATAAGTTCCAACAATCAGAACTAGCACAATTATCATGTAAATTTAAGGTACTCTTTTGGAACATACAACTTGTTAAATCACTATTATTAGCTGAACAAAAGTGTGGATAGATATAAATAATTTAGTAAGAAATTATGTTTTAGTGAATCATTAAAACAGTGATGATGATAATATCCGTGTAGACTGCATGCTACAGTTGCACCTAATTTTCTTTACTAGACTTTTATGTAGCATTTCTGAAAATCCAGATATACTCTATCCACTCCTTTATCCTCATCAACATAAGTAGTATCATCTTTGAAGAAGGTCAATATTCATGAGACAAGATTTTTCCCATTTGAAACCATGCTTAATGTTTAACAAAATTTTAAACTTTGCTGAGTGACTGCAAAGCATCTTTAATCAGTCCCTCCAAAACTTTTACCAGCAAGAAAGGCTTAGTTAGTTAGTTCCTCCTGTTCAAGTTGGAACATAGGACAACGAGAGAACTCCACTTTTCCCTGACTGCATGGTTTCTTTGACTTCCTTTCAGTTCATGTTCATTTCCTGTAAGTCTTCTTCAATGGTGTTACTATACACAAGGTATTCTTTAAATGACCATGTTTCTTATGTTCAGGTGGTAGTACCCAGTCCAGTGTTGTCTTAGCATGTCCACTATATGGAAGTTTGATAACACAACAAGAAAGACTAACTTTGATAATAAATAACTGGTCAATGCTTTTCATCTCCCTTAAAAATATGTGCAACATTAGCCACCTTCCAGTTTCCTGTCCACTATTCAGACACAACAAATATTTTAAGGGATTTAATTATACAATCCGTAATGTCTTTTAAAACCCTTGGAAAAATAACATCTGGTCCAGGACTTAATGATATTTAAATTTCCCAATTTTTCTTTAACAATTTTATGGCTAATATTCATTTTATGTACATCTAGCATATTTCTCATAGTAATTTCACACGAATTGGAATAAGAACTGTTCATATTTTCTCTAGTGAAAACCAAAAGAAAATTTAACAACTCCACTATCCCACAATCTTCCATAATAACCCTTCCTTCAGAATTCCTCAGACCCAATTCCCATTTTAACATTATGCTTAATTTTAAGGTAAAATTTACTTAATGGCATTCTTACTGTTAGTTTTCATATTTTCCGCTGAACATTTCCTTCATGTCTTTTTTTTTAATTTCTGATATCCTTTTTTAGGTTTTAATCAAATCTCTTGATTTGTAAAATCCTTCAAGTTTTCCATCTTGTTCTTGTTTCACTGGAAAAATGTAGCCAACTTGGATGAGTAAGCTAATCTTTATGACATCTGGCAGGGAAGTGTTTTATTTCATTTATTTAGTATTCATTGAAATACTGCAGGTAACTGTGAAATTAGCCACCACATAAAACAAGAAAGCCCATGTAGGGCTGATATACTCCCTGATTCTACCTCCTTTTTTAAAACGTAAAACATCGATTATTATTATACAAATTATAACATGAAACTTCAAAATAACGTTATTGATATCATCATGAGTTCTCCAAACCTTAAATAAAACATCTTCAGATCCACATACCAATTATTACCATAGTGGCTCTTCTAAGTTATATCTCAACTATAATTTATATAAAAACGTCTTTCACCGTTTGTGACAACTAATATTATTAAATTACTAAAAGTAATACTATTACTTATAGTATTAGTAATAATAATGTTACTATTAAAAATATTAGTATTAAATAGTATTACTATTACCAATATTATTTTTAATACTAATTAGTATTAGTATTAATATTATTTGTAGTAGTCAGATTATCTTTGATTGTTTCACTTTAAGTTGACATCCGCCAGCCTTATCTTTAAAACCTATTATTTAACTTATACTCTTAGCCATACCCTGTAAGAGATTGGTAATGGATAAATAGCTATCTTTTTTAAAAGAAAACGCTCAATTCTTCTTGAATACAGCAAACTTCTTCGAAACATTCCACAAATAGCCATTTTCTCACTTATGAATCGAATACGTTTTGTTCACATGACCCAGTTTTCACAACAAAACCACCAGAAGGTATCCGAGTTTACAAAACAACTCGAGATTTTACAAATCAAATATAATAAACTCGCAGTGCGATATATATATATATATAACTTTTTAAAATATAATTATTTTATAAGCAGCTGTACAAGACAAAAGCATAGAAACTAAAACTGTTATTACATAAGTAATGAATTAAACGAAATAACTGATATTCGAGAGGAACTAAAATTTTATTTTCTGTCTATTTCTTCTCAATCTTCTTTCTACTGTTCCATCATTTTCATTATATTTCCATTGAAGTTGGGTCTGGATTTTATTTTACTTTTAGAAAATAATCCATTCATGAAAGTTTGTTTGTTTGTTATTAAGCACAAAGCTACACAATGGGCTATCTGTGTTCTGCCCACCACAGGTATCGAAACCCAGTTTCTAGCCAGTCATGAAGGTAACATTGTAATGACTTCTACAGTAAGGCGAGTTCTTTTGAATAATTCTACAAGATAAAAGGGAAAACGCTAAAGCATAATGATAATGAAGCTACAAGTTCTAGAAATAAGTTTAACTAATATTCAGTGACAGGCTTAAGTTCACAGTAGACGCTAATACAACAATTACACTTACTTGATAATTCTCTCGCAACTCTATTTCTTCATCGAAGCTCAACCTCAATAATAACAGCACTAAACTAACTAACTGATTAACAAAATCAATCATATAATATCTCATTGAAACTCGATTTTAAGCGTTATAAGCCTTAGCCTTAGTGCTGTACCACTTAGGAAGGGATGAATCAGGAGAAAAATTTATATTTTATACATATTTACACAAGTTTCTAAAGAAAATGCTGCCACTTACCTCAGCAAGTCATCCTATGCAGCAGCTGCTGATTTATGGTGGGTGGTAGTAATCTGGTAGATAATCTCTCATGTTCTTGCAAGAGCCTTTTGAGTCTTCGCGAGATTCTTCTGGAGGTAGTGTACCTTTACTCCCAACTGCAAAGACGGCTCTCAATGATTCAGCAGACAATCTTCTCCATGGTTCAATAGTGACTCCATCCTTGAATACTTTCTCTTTGCAGTGGTGTTTCGGAGCTATAATCTGCTGAAGTGTGGGCCACTCTTTTATTTTGGTTTGGGGTTTAGTGAGCAGCTCTACCTTTTCCAACTGCAATATCTGGTTCCTTGGGTGTTCAGCCATGGATGGTGATGCCTAACATATTGTTACGTCTCCGTTCGTTAATGGTTTTCGTAAATGCGTTTCGACGAAACTTTAGCGACACAAGTCTTTTCTTAAATAAAACTTG